ATGCAGTTTTGCGGAAAGACTACATCTATCTCATTTTGTCTTCAGATTTTTTTATTGGGACACCCAATTGAAATCCAATTTTAGAACACTGTGACACCATGTGTTGACAATTCAACTTGACTCAACTCTCAACTCTCAAATAAATCCGAAAAATCTCCGACACAGACCTGGAGACACGTGGCTCAAGCCATTTCAATGCGTATATATTGAATCAGACGATTCCTGCGCACCACATCACATTTCTCAGGCCACGTCGACGACCGTCGAAACACTAAACCACTGCTAAAAAATAGTCGTTGAATCGCTGCCAAGAGAAGCGTTCACTAAATTCCGTAACATCCTCCCCCCTGAAATGCGAACTTCAGAGGGCGCGTTTCACACAGGTACGGAACCGATCTTACAACGACAGATCCATAGTTCACAGCGAACAAGACTGCATCACTTAATTCAATTCAGACAGATTCAGACAGAGAATCTGAGTCAAACGCATCAGTCTACAAACGCAAACGTAAATCGATTCACCGCTCTTCAAACAAACAAACGCCAACCTCGACGCAAACGACATCAAACTTGTCACATCACCAGGGCCACTTGCACCCTGCACTCTGCGAGCCACCACACGCAACTGTCAACTCAGCGCGTCCTCTGCACGCCGCCTCACTGCTCAGAGTGTCGTGGCCGCTACCCCGTGTTGATGTTGAAAGGTCGCCCTGCACGTCGAAACTTGGAGCGGCCCTGCCGCTGTCCACAGAGAGTGGCCCGAGTTGGCACCCTACTGTGGCGGGGGACGTGCAGTCGAAGTGGGTGTGGAGAGCTTTAAGTGGACTGTATCATTTGAGAGAATGGACTAGCCGACTGATCACCGCGACCGCCAGGTCAAAGCTGTACTTGGCACGTCTTAAATGTATTGTCGAAACCTTGTCGGAGAAACCTCCGCACAAGTCTTACTCATGCGTGCCGAAAATCAAAACAAATCAAGAACAAGGCATGAGCTGGTTAGACACTTGCCAGCAGAGACAAACACGAATCCGAGAACGAGTCAGACGCATCGAGCCGTCGAACATGAGCGCATCCCGCTGATGTGTACGATTGTACTGTCTCGTGTTAACTCTGAGGTGAAACGGCGCTATGGCCGGAGTTAAACTGGAGCTAAGCCAGATTACGAGAGGATAACTATGGGAAAATTGCTAAGGAAATTTAACGAGTAGGTTCGACCGAACGGCCGAAACCATACTCCGTTGAGATGCAAAACGTATTAGATTTAGGGGGAATACTGGCATCAAAATGGTCGTCCACAAGGGCGAACCACCAGTATTAGCTTATTGGGACGGCCTCAAATCGCCGGAGCGACGCCCGAGCTCAGAGAGCACGTGTCCGGACGGGCACGTACCGCGCGGAGATCGAGAGCCGACTGACTGCCGCTCCGAGTCCCGACCCCAGGTCAGTTCGGCCGGCGCCTGGGGCTAGCCGCCCGGCCCGGCCCTCCGATTGGCCGGCGCTACAGCGAGCGCGGGCAGCGGCCGGCGGAGCGCCCACCAACGCGATACAAGGCACACAAGCATCACAGCCCCGTGGTACGCGACGTAATAACAAACACAACAATCAATAACAAGTAACAACACAAATACACTTCTCACGCGAAGGCACACCAAATCTCGCCGGGACTGTTGCGGATGGGTCCCGACGGGGAGGGGAGGGGAGAACGCCGCCGCCGCCCGGCACTGACCGCTGCGCCAGAGCTGCCGGTTTTACTCCGCAGGGGCCCACATTCCACATACTCCCCACCAAAAAACGAAGGTTTTTTTTCTCTTCTTGAACACACGTATCCGTCGCATGTCACCATGACGACACGCTAGCCGTCGAGTGTCTCCCGGCTCCAAGTCCAGGCTGGTCCACACAGCGACGACGCGCGCACGGGCCAGGATCCGGTCGAGTGGCGCCCGGGGAGACAGTCCGGAGCCACGGGCTGCATCATGCGCAGATCGGGTGTCGCGGACATGTACTCTGTCCGGTCCCGCCTGGTCCGCCAGCCAGTCTCCGGCCTCGCCATCGCTGACTGCTGAGCATAATCGTCTCCATGTTGGCCTGCTAATGATACAAACATTGAGTAAATAAAGGCACAATGTAACACATCTGGGAACGTTCGATGGTTTGAGGAAAATGGGCAAAGTGGCGACGATGAGTGACTTTTCGCTAATGAAAAGATACTGGGCATTGGGCAAATCAGGAAAATGCAAGTTGACAGGACGTCGGGAAATGACGTAAGTTGTGATGCGTTTGCCACAGGAAACGTTGAACGAAAGCATGATACTTGAATGATGGATGACTGAGAAAGACACAACAATACAGTAGTTACTTGCGAATCTCAGGATAGTAGGATTGCTTGCTGGAGTCGGAGAACCTCCGCACTCAGATGGAACTGTGACTTAGAAGTTGAAGAACCTCCACACTCGGACGAAGACTGGGACTAGGGAGTCGGAGAACCTCCGCACTCCGCTGAGCCAGTTTGATGCACCAATACAGAGCGTTGCGCTGCTTCTTGGGTCTGGGTGGTCCGTTCGATCGCTGCTCCTTTCGAAAGCGCAGGCTATGGATGAGCCGCAGCACCCACGATGTTATGCTGATTGCTTGTTTCCGATGGGAACAGTCCGTCGGAAGGAATGGCCCTCTGGTGTAAGTTGTGCGAGTGTGAGTTGTGCGAGTCGATGTGACCACCGCACTAGCACAGCTCCGTGACGGTCTCGTTTCGTCATCCGTGCGCACGTCGAGTGCTTGACTCTTGGCCTGGAAGGGGCTGGTGTTCTTCAACTCCTTCGCCGGATCTTCTGGTTCCTCGATTCTCTGATTTTGACTGCTGGCCGGTGTCAGAGGGGGCAGTCTGGCTCCTGTCACCACCAGCTGAGGCTCCCCACCGTGGGCAGCGTGCACGACGGCACAGCAAGTCTTGCTGGCTTCGTCGCAGAAGACTTGGAAGACCACGTCTTCACCAAGAGGATGGACGGATCTCGGGACCTCAGCTTCTAGTCCCGGCCCATAGCGCTCTTCTTGCGAGTTTCCCTCGGATTCTCGTTGGAGGTTTTGAGCCTCAGGGTCCGGAGTTTTACCCATGGAATCGAGGTCCCACATTTGTTCCACTTGTTGACAGTGGTATACATGTCGAGTGGACTGTCCTGTTGCAGTGCCCTTCCCGTGGATCACGTAGCCAAAGATCGTATCCAGTGCTCTCAGGGATTCATCTAGAACGACGCAATCCCGCAGCACGACCTTGTAGTACTGGTCTGTCCCTATCAGGATGTCCACCTGGCCACCGCTGAAGTCGTCGGCCAGCTCGATGTTCTCATCTAGTCCCTCGGGCTGCTCTGCCGGTGGTAGAGGTGCGCACAGGCGGTCACAACACCACAGCTCGAATCTCCTCGCTTCACCTCCGTGTCGGTTCTGTAGGTCGACTGCGACGCGATCGTATGACCGTGGTTCCTCTGCTCTCTCCTGGAAGCCGACGCAAGCGAATGTGTCGGAGCCGATGACGTCCAGACTCATCTCTTCGGCGACCGTCTTCCTGATATAAGAAGCGTCGGACCCACCATCCAGCAGGGCCCTCAGTATCTTGGGTCCGCGTGGCCCTCTCCCCACCACCAGCGCAGTCTGAATGTAACACTGTGATGTAGTACGCTGAGCTGCGTAGCGCATGCTGGGATGGGAGTGCTGGCCGTGGCTGGAAGTGGAAGGTTCTGGCCGCTGATTTTGAGAGACTGATGGATGCGTGCTAACTGTTGGAGGTACCGGCGCGGGAGGTGGTACAGCAGGACTGTAGGGAACAGAGCTGGCGAGAGGAGCAGGTGCAGGCTCTGGAGCTGGGGCTTGGTGACGATGCAGAGAGGTATGGTGTGGCCGGTGACAGTGTCTACATGTGCCACTCCGGCAGTCTCGAACATGGTGTGAGCCGAGACACTGAAAACATGCTCCTGCACGTTTCACTGCCACCCATCTGTCGTCAACAGGCATCTGCAAGTACTGGTCGCATCTGTCGATTCGGTGCTGCCCTTCCTTGCAGATGTGACAGCTCCATCTTCTCTTTGAGTTCGAGGTGACACGTTGTGTGTTGAGAACACTGGTTGTCGCCCTGTTGGCTGGCTGGCTCGACTCCTCCCGCTTCTTCTGACACAGCACCTGGACGGACTCCTCCTGACATTCCACCTCTTGTTGGAGGAATCTGAGGAATGACTCGAACTCAGTGTTCTCGTCATCAGTGGCTCGCTCGCGTCTCAGTCGTGCCCACTGCAGCCTCCAGGAGGCTGGGATTTTGCCTCTGAGGACCGGAAGCAGCACCTCTCCGATGTTGGTGATGTCGAGGGCTCTCAGTGACCGGACTCCTGCTGTCACCTCGTCAGTCAGCTTCCGCAGGGATTTGATGTTGTCGGCGTCAGTCACTCCAGGTAGACTGAGCAGTTTTGCGACCAGCGTGTCTTTTCGGACGTCGTCTTTGCCGAAGCGGTGTTGCAGAATTCGTACTGCTTCTGGGTAGTTTTCAGCCGTCAGTGGCAGGCCCTGAATGGCCCGGGCTGCATCTCCATCGAGGTGTTGCTTCAGGTAAAAGTATTTCTGAACAGGCGAGTACGCCAAGTTTCTGTGCACAGATGCCTCGTATACCTCCCAAAATTCGGGCCAGGCGAGAACATCGCCGTGGAATTTTGGGAGATTGAAGTCGATCTTGAAGGTCGCCTGGTGTTGAAAGTTCGGCGTCACAGGCGCTGCGGCTTGTTCCCGCAGGTCCGATAGGAGGCGTTTTCCCAGTCCGACAGCTCGGTGCAGGTCGGCGATGTGAGTGGACTCGGCGTCCTCTATGCCGGCATCCCTCAGCTGGGCTTCGAGAGTTCCTAGCAGCGTCAGGTGACTCTCGCCGATTTCGATGGCGTAGTCCAGCTCGTACCGGGCAGGGCTCTGGTTGTCCTCATGTACTTGTTTAAATAAAGATTTTAGTTCATTGATTTGTTTAGTTGCTTTGCTTCGGTCTTTGGTGCGTTTCGCCTTCAGTGACTCAATGTCTGTGTTGGGGTCTGGCTTACCCATCTCTCTCTATATGCTGGTGATTGATCACTATAAGCAAACCTGGTGGAAATGCTCCCAGTGATCCGGCCCCCGGAGGACTATGTCGTGGCCGCTACCCCGTGTTGATGTTGAAAGGTCGCCCTGCACGTCGAAACTTGGAGCGGCCCTGCCGCTGTCCACAGAGAGTGGCCCGAGTTGGCACCCTACTGTGGCGGGGGACGTGCAGTCGAAGTGGGTGTGGAGAGCTTTAAGTGGACTGTATCATTTGAGAGAATGGACTAGCCGACTGATCACCGCGACCGCCAGGTCAAAGCTGTACTTGGCACGTCTTAAATGTATTGTCGAAACCTTGTCGGAGAAACCTCCGCACAAGTCTTACTCATGCGTGCCGAAAATCAAAACAAATCAAGAACAAGACATGAGCTGGTTAGACACTTGCCAGCAGAGACAAACACGAATCCAAGAACGAGTCAGACGCATCGAGCCGTCGAACATGAGCGCATCCCGCTGATGTGCGCGATTGTATGTCGTGTGTTAACCCTGAGGTGAAACGGCGCTATATCCGGAGTTAAACTGGAGCTAAGCCAGATTAAGAGAGGATAACTATGGGAAATTGCTAAGGAAACTTTACGAGTAGGTTCGACCGAACGGCCGAAACCATACTCCGTAGAGATGCAAACGTATTAGATTTAGGGGGAATACTGGCATCAAAATGGTCGTCCACAAGGGCGAACCACCAGTATTAGATTATTGGGACGGCCTCAAATCGCCGGAGCGACGCCCGAGCTCAGAGAGCACGTGTCCGGACGGGCACGTACCGCGCAGAGATCGAGAGCCGACTGACTGCCGCTCCGAGTCCCGACCCCAGGTCAGTTCGGCCGGCGCCTGGGGCTAGCCGCCCGGCCCGGCCCTCCGATTGGCCGGCGCTACAGCGAGCGCGGGCAGCGGCCGGCGGAGCGCCCACCAACGCGATACAAGGCACACAAGCATCACAGCCCCGTGGTACGCGACGTAATAACAAACACAACAATCAATAACAAGTAACAACACAAATACACTTCTCACGCGAAGGCACACCAAATCTCGCCGGGACTGTTGCGGATGGGTCCCGACGGGGAGGGGAGGGGAGAACGCCGCCGCCGCCCGGCACTGACCGCTGCGCCAGAGCTGCCGGTTTTACTCCGCAGGGGCCCACATTCCACACAGAGCGACATCTACAGTCGGCGCCCAACACTGCCTTGCCTGTAATCGCAGACGAGAGAAAAACAAACTAACACTGCTGACGAACACTGCGGTCTAACACCGCCGACGAATGTGAGCGGTTCACGGCTCAGAGGACAGCGGGTCGAGGTCAAAAAGCCTCTGGATGGGACGGGTTTTTAGACCAGACGGAGTCCGGACTTCTGCCGACCTCACCTTTCCGTCTCGGCCGGTGATCAGTCTCGTGACGACGCCATGTACCCACCTCATGCGCGGCACGTTATCCTCCTGCAGCATGACCATGGAGCCCTCGGACAGCTTACCTTGAGGCCCGAACCTTCTGACAGAAGGCGGCAGGGTCCTGACATACTCCTTGTACCAGACAGACCAAAATCTAGCCAGACGCTTCTCACACACACGAGCTCTCTCAGTCAGCGCCTTCGCATTCACACAGGCAGGGTCCTCCACCACCCGCGAGGAGAACCCGGTCCCTCTACCCGTCAGAAAGTGCGCCGGGGTGATCGGGGGGCTCGAGTCCAGTCCATCACCAACAAACGTCAATGGACGGGAGTTAACACAACACTCAACTTCTAACAACACAGTCTCCAGCTCATCCCGTGACAGACAGCGTGACCCAAGCGACTTGCGCAGGCCCACTTTCACGGAACGGATGAGCCGTTCCCACCATCCGCCCCACCACGGCGAATGCGGTACAATGAAGCGCCACTCAGGCGCCAGATGACTGTAGACACGCTGCAGCTGCTTATCAGCTCCCCTGAAAGTAGGTGCGTTGTCAGAGTACATGATCCTTGGTAGACCGCGCCTGGCTGAAAAACGCCTGAGTGCTAGCATGAATGCCGGTAACGACAGGGCGTCAGTCATTTCAAGGTGAACGGCACGCGTGACAGCACACGTGAACAGGCACACGTAAAACTTCTTCCGTGGAAAATCGACGCTGAACAGGGGACCACCAAAATCAACACCAGTCACTGTGAATGGAGGGGACTGAGTCACTCTGCAGCCCGGCAGAGGCGCCGCCTCCTCGTTGAACGGTCGAGAATCGTGACGAAGGCAGCTGACACAGCCGCGCTTCACACCCTTGGCGATGCAGCGCAAGCCCAAGATCCAATACGCTCCTCTGAGCGAAGTCATCATCGTTGAGACACCCGCATGTTTCAGAAGAACATGCTGCTCTCTTGCCAAAAGCACAGCCAAGTGACATTTTGGCAGCAGAATCGGGTGCTTCTCCTCGTACATCAAGTCAGAGAACTCCAGCCGACCCCTCACTCTGAGAAGTCTATCGTCAGCGATAAACGGGTCGAGACCGATCAGGCGCGAGCCCTTCGGCAGCGACTGGCGCTTCTCCAACGCGCTCCATTCTCCAGAAAACGCCTTCCGCTGCTCCTGTCGCAGCAGATCGAGCCTCGCGTCAGCTAGCTCGAGAGTCGTCAGATCAGGAAGACTGCACCTGTCAGCTGGGACACGACAGTTCCGTATAAATCGACGGACCCAGCCCGCCACACGGACAGCCTTGGACATCTTACCCCAGCGTTCAACAGGAAATACTTCCTCAAACTGTGAAGTCACCAAACAGAAGGACTCTACTTCAACCATCTCCTCAGTAATAGGATCAGACACCTTCTCGTCAAACGAACACACAGCTCCGTCCGGTGTGCACAAGGTAGCACCGGGCGAGCACACGGCAGCGCCGGGCGTGCACACAGCACAGCCAGGCGAGCACACAGGCGTGCGCACGGTACCGCCTGGTGAGCACACAGCACCGCCAGGCGAGCACACAGCACCGCCAGGCGAGCACACGGCTGCGCCGGGAGTGCGCACAGCCCCGCCAGGCGAGCACGCCGCACCGCCGGACGAGCACACAGCACCACCAGGCGAGCACACAGGCGTGCACACAGCACAGCCAGGCGAGCACGCCGCACCGCCGGACGAGCACACAGCACCGCCAGGCGAGCACACAGCACCGCCAGGCGAGCACACGGCTGCGCCGGGAGTGCGCACAGCCCCGCCAGGCGAGCACGCCGCACCGCCGGACGAGCACACAGCACCACCAGGCGAGCACACAGGCGTGCACACAGCACAGCCAGGCGAGCACACAGGCGTGCGCACGGTACCGCCTGGTGAGCACACAGGCGTGCTCACATCACCACCAGGGGAACACACGTCACCTCCACGGGGGCACACGTCACCTGCACGGGGGCACACGTCACCTCCGGGAGAACTCACAGAGACGCCGGACAAATCGTGCTGCACCAAGACAGACTGGTTCACGTCAGGTGTGTGACAGTGTGACAGCCAAGATGGCCCACTGAGCCACAGCTCTGACCTCACAAGCTCCTCAGCAGACACCCCGCGTGTGGTGAGGTCAGCCGGGTTACACTCCCCCGGACAGTGCTGCCACCGTTCAGGATCCGTCAGACTCTGAATTTCAGTCACTCTGTTGGCCACAAACTCCTTCCACTTACGTGGATCGGCCCTGATCCAACCCAGTGCTACCATTGAATCAGTCCAACAGAGGCACGGAGTACTGTGCGAGAGACGGAGCGCACTCCTCACGAACACGACCAGGCGGGCCGCGATCAGGCAGCCAAGAAGCTCTAGCCTAGGAAGACTAAGCTTCTTAACAGGCGCCACACGGCTCTTTGCCATCACCAGCGACACATGAAATGACCCATCCTCCAAAGGGACACGGATGTAAACGGTAGCTCCATACCCTTTGGGCGATGCATCGCTGAATGCCAGAAGCTCAGCGCCGTGGCCGTCCCTCCACGCGCTCGGCGAGTAGCGGCGCGGCACACGCAGCTCCTTCAGCACCGCCAGTCCACTCAGCCATCTGGCGAACGTCTCACGACAGGACTCCGGCAGCGGGTCATCCCAGTGCAACCCCAGCTGCCACAGCTCTTGGAAGAGAGATTTCAGAGTCATCACAAACGGGCTGATGAATCCAAGGGGATCGAACATGCGTGCGACAAAGCTGAGAACGACACGTTTTGTGGGAACAATGTCGTCAGGCAGTGACACGCCCTGGAATGCGAACAGGTCATCAGTCGGGTTCCAGATCACACCGAGCACCTTCACATGCTCACTCTCACCAAACACACCCTGCGCCTTGTCGAACAACAGGGGGCTGTTAGAGCGACACTTGGTCAACATCATGTGGGCATCTCTCATCACACGCTGAGCCTCTGAGAGCAGCGCGGAGGCCTCACTTTCGCTGTCGGCACCCGACAACAGGTCATCCACATAGAAATTCTCACGCATCTCACGAATGGCAGGAGAATCAGGGTACAGAGACAAATGATGTCTAATCGTAGCACTTAGGAGGAAGGGAGAACTACTGACACCAAAAATGACCCTCTGTGACTTCATCACACGCACACGACCGTCACAGTCCCACAGGAAACGGTGGGTGTCTTGATCCTCGACACTCAGACCGACCTGCAGAAAGGCTTTCGTGATGTCAGCGGTCACTGCGAACGGCCAACGCCTGAAACGCAGGAGAACCTCCAGCAGGTTAGGCAGGAGGCAGGGTCCCACCTCCAAGCAATCGTTCAAAGAGACACCATTAGGCCCACGAGCGGACGCATCGAACACTGGGCGGACTTTAGTAGAGGTGCTGCTCTCCTTGACTACCGGACGGTGGGGCAGGTAAAATGTAGGGTTCTGGGTTACCAGCTCCTCCACAGGCACCTCTGTAATCACCCCAGCCCCCTCCATCTCACACAGGGCACCATCATAACAGGCACGCAGGTCAGGGTCCCGCTCCAGCTTACGTCCCAGACCAGTCAGCCGCTTCTCAGCACTAGCTCGGTTATCCTGCAACAGGTCAACTGCACCCTCCTTCCATGGCAGTTTCACCACATAACGACCATCAGCTGATCGTTCCACAGTGGACTCGAACGTGGTCATCACATCAGACTCATCACCAGTGGTCACATCCGTCACACCTACTCCCTCCAGTGACCACAGACGGCGCAGCGCCGACTCATGTATGTCACCCAGACACAGGAGCTGACATCCACCCTTGTGGTCATCTACGCCACTCACCTGACCGCTCAGCACCCAGCCGAACACAGTTCTCTGAGCCACCATACCCTCTCGCAGTACTCGCGTCTCCCCACTTACCAGTTGCCAGAACTGATCAACACCGACCAGAATGTCGATGTGCAGACTCTCACTCTCTAGCGGGTCAGCCAGGACTACACCATCAAGCTGATCCAGAACAGAGGCCGGCAGAAGTGGACGCGCGAGGGGGGCACATATGGCTGGAACCGCCACAGCTCTGAGGTTCTGAGGGGCAGATACAGAACCATGTGAACCACTCACACTCAGCTCATACACGTCACGGGTGGCTCTGGGAACCTTTCCTCCTCCGAACACTGCATACCCCACCTCCGTGGAGCCACACCAACGCGGCTGCACCTTGCGCACAAGCGCACTGCTCACGTAAGTAGTGTCTGAGCCAGAATCCAACAGAAGGTTGGCCTCAACAAGACTCCCCCCGTGACCCTGCACCAGCACCCTTGCTACAGGGAGCACAGAACACTTCTTATCTCCATCACATGACAGTGACGCACCTCCACCCCCCTGGGGCCCTCCCTCCGGGGCTGCATCAGCCACCACACTGAGACTCTGAGTCTGACTAGAGTCAGACTGAGGCAGAGCAGCTGTCTGCTCCCTCTCCACACCACCTACCTCTACACGGGATGGCACTCCGACACTCTTACCCATGCACAACAATGGGTGATGGTTACCTCCACAACGATCACACATCCTACCACAATCAGTGGCCCGATGGCCCACCTCAAGGCATGAGAAGCATGCGTACAACTCACGAAGCTTCTGAAATCTCTGACGGAGATTCAGACGCTGGAACACTCTACATCTCTCAGAGACATGTCCCTTACCGCAGAAAGAGCACTTAAGCTCAGATGAGTGCAGAGCTGCCCCGGAGGGTAGACCAGGGCCGGTGCCCCGCGCCTCCATGTACACAGACGGGCGCCGGCTAGTGACAGCAGGGTGGCTGCCCCCACCTCTCGAAGATGAAGAACCGCCGGCACTGCCAGCCCGAGCGGAGACTCCGGCACCACCAGCCCGTGAAGAAGCGCCGGCACCACTGGCTCGTGAAGATGAAGATGATGCTCCAGCACCAGCCAGTCCCACGTAGACACCAGAGCGACCTCGCCGCTCCACCTCCCTCGTCAGGAACCCGATGAGATGATCAAGATCAGCCTCCTTCTCCTCGGCTTCACGGGCCCACTCCAGGCGGACAGCATTGGGTAGTCGGGAAAGGATGATAGGATTTAGAAGGACACCATAGGACTCTCCTGTAATGCCGAGGGCTTCCAGGCTTCTGATGTGGATGAGGAGGATATCTACTAGGTCACGGAGCTTGTCCAAAGGAATAGGATCAAGGTTGAGGAGAGCTTGCACATGAGAAAATATTATTAAATCCTTGCGTCCAAACCGCTCTTGCAGAAGATCACATGTTATCTTGTAACTCTCGCTACTCAATGCGAGCCCCTCCACGCATCTCTTCGCCTCACCATCCAGCAACGTTCTCAGATAGGTGAGCTTTGTGACATCTGCTAACTTCGAATCATGTACTGCGACACAAAACGCCTCCCAAAATGCAGGCCAATCTTGGGGTTTTCCAGAGAAACGGGGCAGGTCCAACCTCGGTAGCTTGGGGGTCTCACCTCGGATCCCAGCACCAGAAGCTGGTGCTGCTTGGTGGACTGCCAGCAGTTTCATGGCCCTCGCTCTCAACATGATCAACTGGTCCAACGACCCTGAAGACTGGTCGGACAGGGTGTCCTCCTCAGATTGTTCCGACTCAAGAGCCGCCTGCGCGGCTTCAAAGTTACACATCCTCCTATCAAAGAGAGCAAGCATGGTTTCCAGTTCAAAAAGATCCACATCTTTGCTTGTCTGTGCGTCACTTTGCTTTGCATCTTTGCTTGTCAGCGCGGCGCTCAGGGACTCGCCTGCACGATTCAGCCACCCTCGGGCGGCGTTCCTCGAACGCTTCAAGCGCTCTATCTCCGCCATACTCGATATCAGACTGGAAACGGGAAAGAACAACTCAGTAAATATTCCCGGGCAGTTTCGGCACCAAAATGTTGACAATTCAACTTGACTCAACTCTCAACTCTCAAATAAATCCGAAAAATCTCCGACACAGACCTGGAGACACGTGGCTCAAGCCATTTCAATGCGTATATATTGAATCAGACGATTCCTGCGCACCACATCACATTTCTCAGGCCACGTCGACGACCGTCGAAACACTAAACCACTGCTAAAAAATAGTCGTTGAATCGCTGCCAAGAGAAGCGTTCACTAAATTCCGTAACACCATGCCTGTGTGCCAAGTAAGAGGAAGGGTCTACAAGTATACATCAAGATAACCAATTATGGACAAGTTGAGACTTGAGTCATGAGCTCTTATTTGTGGTTACAATACCTTCAACTGCATGATTTTGCACAACTTCCATACAGGCATCCAGACTGGAAAAGGTTTAAGTCCATACTTATTCTGGTGCTTGAATATGGCAGTTCAAAGATGGAAGGCATATGATGCTACAAAATGAAAAAAATAATTCAACTTACAAAAAATAGGCATTCATATCTATCCTAAACTAAACTAACCTAAACTTACCTAACCTAATCCAACCCAACCCAACCACCCCAACCAGCCCAGCCCAGCCCAACCCAGCCCAGCCCAGCCCAGCCCAGCCCAGCCCAGCCCAGCCCAACCCAACCCAAAACCTACAGTCTAAAACCTAGAGCTAAAACCTGCAGCCCAAACTGGAAAACATCCATATGGTACGCCGGACGCCCGTGAAGCCGTCATGCGCCGAAGTTCGGCGCAAGCTATTTTGCAATTTGCGCTGAAATTTCTGCATTATTTGCGCCGAAGGTTAGTGCCCTTTTGCGTCAAAATTAAGCCACTTATACAAAAAGCACGTTTACATCTGCTGGCCAAGGTTTTATAAACCAGACAGAACGCTCTGGGCCTTAACCACTCCTGACTCCCATGTTTGAGCGTCCAAATTAGTTGATGTTTCCATGGAAGCTGAACACCACAATACGTGTAGCGCGCTGTAGCATCGTGCCGTGAAATAAGGCTCGGGACGGAAGTTCCGGGGTCACAAAAATTGGTGTGGCGGTGTTGTCGCGGCTGGCGGGCTTCAGCAAGGGGTTTAAGTTTACGACACCACTCTTGTTTCAGGAGAGGTGTCAGCGATTCGAGACTACTTGGGCATGCGGGCAGCGGGGTCGGCGTGGCTGCCTGCGGCTGCGGCCACACATCTTGGCGTCCTGGAGGCGGAGATGCTGATGGTGGCATGAGTCATCACTGGCTGCCCGATTTCCATGCTCCAAGACTCGCCGTGAGGGCCGAGGCGGGCGTCGTGCCGATGGAGAGATGAGGAGGGATGCGCTGGCATCGCGCCTACTGGCGAAGGCGCTCTCCCTCCCGTCGGAGGACCCGCCGCGTCGTGGCGGAAGCCCCCCCCCCCAACCGTGACTGAAGTCAGTGACCGGCTGGAGAGAGCGCGGGGGAGCGGTGTGGGACCACTGGAGTGGCGCTGCCCGCCGAGGCGCGCTTATCCACGAGACTGCCCCCGTAGACGCCAACAGACGGCGTCACGGTCCACCTGGACCTGCTGCCGATCGGGGCGTCCGCGACAGCGAGGAGGAGTGCTGCGGAGGCGTGACTGGGAGCGCTCCCCCAGCGTGCGACGTGGGCCTGGGTCGACGGGTCTGCGACCGGGGGAGTAATAGGAAGGCGGCGCTGGGGTCCTCACCGAGCACCCAGACAGTACAACATTGGTACTGCGGGAGGCGGCGGGGAGGATTTGCTCCATTTACCGATCTGAGATGGTGGCGCCCAAAACGGCAAAGCAACATCTCCTGAAGCACCCGTCCTTCGAGGAAGACCCCATAATCATTTGCTCCGACTCGCAGGCGTCGCTGGCGACGCCACGAGGTGGACAAGTGGCCCAGACACCCCCCCCCCTCATCCCCTAGGTGCCGCCATCTGGGAGTATATGATGGCCCTAGTGGCTGTAGGGGGCCGAAGAATCCACCATAGAAGGAGGGCGGCGATAGCCCGATTAAGCTGGGCGTCCAGTGGAGCCTCGGCTCTATCATGGGCATTGGGCAAGGACTCTGCGAGCACCCCCGTCTCCTCCATCTTCGACGGCACTCCAGTCAGAAAGCTGTCCCCACCCGAGTTTCCCAGCAGCATGGGCCACATGAAACCGAACAGCGCCGAGCCGCTCGACGCTGAGGACCAGGCGAGAGTAACAGTGAAAAGGTGAAACGCTCGAAACGGCGCGCGCCGCCGGCCGAGGGCGCCGAGCCGGCCCAGGCCGGCTGCGGGTCAAACAGAAGCCGTCTCCGCGGCGGCCGCCCAGTGACAGCGACTCGGACTGACGTCGAGGCACCGCTGCCGCCTCCGCCGACCAACCCGCCGCCCAGCAAGGGCAGTTTGAAGGCGGCTGCGCCGGTGAAGGTGGCGCGGCTTGGCAGGGGCCGCGGCCGGCCCACTCCCAGCTACCCGTCCCGCGAGGTGCTCAGTACCACCGACTCGTCCGATTCTGAGGCAGCGCCGTCGGCGGGCCGCCGCCAGCAGTGACGACGACCGGCTGGCGGCGTTCGCGCGGGACTTGTCCGACTCCTGGTACTCGGACTTGCCGCCCAAACTGGACGCCGGCGGCGTGAGCACCAGCAACGCCAATAAAAAGTCCACCTTCATCCGGCTCTTCTCGCACCGTGTCAAAAGGACTACGCCGCGCGGCCGGCCGGCCAACTCGAATGAGCGCAGCGAAGGGCACACGTCCCCGACGGCGGCACTGGCGCCTCCCGCCGCGCCGCTGCCGGCGTTGCTGGCAACGCCGATCCAGGCCCATCGATTTCTACTGTTTTGTTGCCTACGTGCCGCTGCCGCCGCTCAGCCAGCACAATGGCGTGCCGGTGTTGCGCTGTCGGATCGAAAAGCGGCTCGTGCAGCGGACGGACGGGTGCGGCCCGCGCGATGAGCCGCCGCCGCACACCGAGCTGCGCCGCGCGGACGTGAAGGTGGAGCTGGCAGCGGCCTGCTCAGTCCCCTCAACGGCGTCGACCGGCTCTCCGGCGATTTGCGGTCAGAAACGCCGCCGCTTCTGGGACCAAGGTGTCAGAGCGCGGCGCTGCCCGTGAGACGTTAAGTTAGCACAGGCAATGTCGTCTGCACTCCTTGCAGTTCATGTTGAATACACAACCATGTTGCGAAGTAATAGGCGCCGGGTTTTTCAGTTCATAGAACTTTTTCCCTGGCTATTACACCCCACAACCGAACACTGACACCTTGCACAAGTATGACTGTGTGTATGAATGTTAATAAATACATGAACCAATGTTGTGTTTTCGGTTCCAGTACCTTCTTTGGGCACCTCGGCAACAAGTAAGTAATCCGTTAGCTTTGCCACACCTAAGATAGGCTCCCACGTTGTTATTTGCTCCCGGGTTAACATAAACCGGTTTAACGTAACTTTTGCATCCCGGCCAAAATTGTCGGTTAACTGTCCCACCGCTCGAGACTGGCGCTAGGCTGGCCGAGCAAAAAAAAAAGTTTGTCCGCGGCTTCGTCTTATTCGCAGCTGCTGGACACGGGGGAGGGGGGAGGAGGGGCTGCATCGGACGAAAAGCGGGCTCTGGTATTAACTGGATTTTTTGCCAGCTGGCGCCGTATGGTGGCGCTAGCAGAGCTTCTTACATATCAATGCTAGATATAAAAGAATGAATATTTACCAATCAATTTTTCATTTAAAGCCATTTGAAATATTTATGTCCATCCTACTACCGCGCTTAGGTATATCTAAAATTAAATACCTTTCGTGCGTCGCCAGCTGGCCAGCCAGCTGACGCAATCCAGCTTTTACCAAAGCCCCGAAAAGCGATGACGTGAGCCCTAATATTGGCTTCACCACACAATTTGAGCCCTCAAACTGGAATCAGGTGAGCTCGAAAATGGGGATCAGGCTGAAAACTGGTATCATAGTGAGACTAGTTTTAGAGCTTGACACCGATAATGGGTACTGACTGAGCTCTGTTTCTGCGATCAATGATACCGATTTAAGGGATCGTATGAGCCCATGTGGCGCTAGCTCAGAAAGTATTCTCGAAATGTGCTGTCTGTTTTGAATATGGTACATTAGCCCGAAAACTGGTCTCTGAGCCCGAAAATCGGGACACTGTTTTCTCAGTGGCTGGGGTCACATGGCACAGAATGGGATCACACGGGCAAACTGTGGTTTTATTATAGGCAGACTGGGGTTCATATTGGGGTAAAACAGGGTGACGCGGATGACACTTTAATTTCATTCGGAAATATCTTAGTTTTTCTCGATATTCGATAAGCAGGGACCGAAATCGCCCTTCACGTCACGCGAATAAAACTAACTGATCAGGAACAAACCCAGCTATACAGCCGGAACGGTAAAACTGCCGGGTTACCTATATATGGCTGTCATTTATAGGCATCCGATGAATTATCAAGTATCTGATTTCAGATCATTTGTTATCATCTGCGGGTCGCTGCTACTGAACGCAAATATAACTTGGAACATCTTGGAATGGCTCTCCTCGCACCTCTCGTCTTGTGCGGTGTACTGCTGCGACTTCTGCTCGGCACGGAGGCCTGCCAGAAGACTGCCTGGACAAAGGGCCACCTGGCCACAGACACGGCCATTGAGGCGTTCACTCTCCGGCCCAGCAGAGGCTCCACCTGCGTCTGCTGCTCGTTCTGCAACTCCAACGCCAACTGCGACAGCCTCAGCTACAACGTTGTCACCCGCGAGTGTCTGCTGTTCGACTACGTGGCCAGCTACTCTTCCATCATCGCCAGCAGCGACTGGAGGTACTTCGTGATGCCGGGGAGGTCCCAGCACGAGCAGTTCTGTCGGGAGGACTCGGACTGTCTGCAGAGCGGCGACTCGTGTCGTGGTCGCGTCTGCACGGACCTGTCGGCCATCACGTGCAGGGTCATCTACGAGCAGCTCGGCGCCGGGGATCGGCTGGGCGGAGAGATCCACGCTCACGGATGGATGAGCGGTCAGGACATGCTGCTTCTCTGCCGCATGACTGCCGAGTGGCCCGGTTTCACGAGCATCTTCCGCAACAAGAGATCATCAGAATCCATCACCCGAGACAACGTGCGCGCCTACAACGCCGACCTCTCGGCGGGCACAGAGGTGCAGGCGGGTCTCGAGATGGCGGACCTGATCCGTCAGCTCCACTCCGGCGTCCAGTACCAGCTGCGGACGATCGCCAAATGTTCTGACACGGCTGCCTTTGACGGCGAACTGATGACCGAGGCTCTGCTCGACCGCGGCCAGCCGGTCACCGTTGAGATCGACGCCGCCACGGCTGTCAGCGACACGTTCCAGACGGACTTTGCCGGCATCCCCAGCGTGTCGCTACCCTACCTGCTGCCCTCCGGAGAGGACATAGTCAGCGCCAAAGTCAATGTGGAGCTGGACGACGGCTCGGTGGAGCAGGTCTCACTGCCCTTAGCGCGCACTGGTGACATGCTCTGGTTCAGATCGGTCGCCATTTTTATTCGTGAATAAACCGCGACGTGAATCCTAAGCTGGCGTTGTTTTGTATGTCATACATGGCGTTGCTTTGTATTGGAATTTATTTGCAAGAAGGTCTCTGTGCAAATTATGTGCGATGTTTGACGCTGCCCTAATTCTTATTTCCAGTGACTACGCGTCGACAAACGGATCAGAATACATTTACGACCAAACAAATAATGCATTATTGATGCACTGGTTGCTCTTGGTACTGGACAGCAGAGATCACTTTAAAGGTAGACTGCCACCTTTTTTTCACAAAACGGTTTTCACTAGAGCTGAGCCACCTGTGTCCCAGACTGAAGTCGGTTTTCCGAAATTCGAACCCGTTTGCGAGAAATCGGAGACCAAAGTTCAGTTTGATGCCATTTTTTTAGTCCAAGAAAACCGACATATCTACTGTTTATCGATAACTTTGAAACATGAATTTTCTTATCTTTTGGTAAATATATGTCAAAACTTTGATTGTTTCGAGATCAGAGAAGAATTTTGGAGTGTCAAAATAAAAGTTAAACTTATATATTCAGTAGTTCATTTTTTCCAAAAAAGTGTGGGAAATGGGGTTTAACATGGGCCAGACCCATTCCAAATGAGCTATGATTTTTTAAATGTTTTACGAACTTAAATGCAAAATAAATTAAACATGGCCAATTTCTTATGAAATCATATATTAGTAAATCATAAAATACCTTACTTTTTCAAATAAAATGTAATAAATCGAAATTACACAAATCGAACACACAGAAATAGCATATATTTCATCAGACATCGACAAGAGGTTCAGGTTATTAAAGCTTTTTTGAGAAACCAGGAAGGATGATTTGGTTCAATTCGCTATTTTCAACCCTAACTAGTTGACATCCTATTCCCAATTTTTTTTTTGCTCGGATTTAATAAAGTGTAAATAAAACTGCAAAACTTGGACGGCAGAAGTAAGCAAGCAAGTTGTAGACTTAACCCTCGCCCGCACATGCCATTTTCCCATCCTAGAACGCACATGGGGGGGGGGTGGTTGCCACCCCCCCCCCGCGCCATTTCGCTCCTGTTGGAGATAGAGCTTAGCAGTAAAGACCAAAAAGATTCTTTGGGAAGAGACGAATCCAATGATACCCAGTTTTACCTTCTCAGGTCAGTCATTGACCTTCCAGGTCAGGTCAAACTAAAAAATGTTGCTGTTTTGGGTCACCGTTGGATATCAAGTGCGCTGCTTATCAAATACCGATGACGATGCTGTTTTCTGGTGCCAAGCCAGCTAGAACCTCTTTGTCACACTATCCGACCAGAATTTTGCTGCTGAGGTCATTTCAGGTCAAGTTAGGTCAAGGTCAATTATATGTGTTTGTATGTCTGTGTGTGTCTGTGTGTATACTGATGTGTGCACCGATTGTTTTTGGGTCCATATCACATGAAATCATGATCTGAGAAGCTTTTACCAAAAATAAAGTCAAAAAACTTCAAAAAAAGTAAATTCAGCTTGCCTAAAACGCAATTATCTTAGATGACCTAGGTTGACCTTGACCCTGACCTTGACCCCTGTACATCGTCGAACAACACGTTCCATGATAGGAGGGAGGTAAGACTGGCAAAAAAGGCCGAAATCAAGGTGTCAAAAGCTCACAAGGCCCATGGCAAACGCAAGATGTTGAGAATTGGCCATTTGGGTCATGACATGACCTGACAAACAAGGTCATATCTCCGAAACCAAAAATCACAGAAACTTGAAATTTTCAGTGGACATCAAGAAAGGATAGACGAGCAGCTATACGAAAAATCAGCCTTCTAGCTCTAAAAATGTTGAGTGCAGAGCAGAAAGACTGCCTGGGGGGGGGGGGGGGGGGTGGCAACCACCCCCCCCCCCCATGTGCGGGCGAGGGTTAAACAATGTCTAATAAGATGGCGAAGTACTAAAATGAGCAGCATTATTGAATATCGTAGAAGAATAACCTTATGCTCACTATCTTTTAACAATCCGAAAATTAGCCTAAAATCAATGAATATATTTCGGAAACGTTCCTTCTTCAGTTCAAAAAGTTAACTATACAAGCCACAGAAATGTACAAATAAAAATACATTTTATTATATATATATTTTTTGATACACAATCTTAGAAATGTCATATAATTGAAAACACACCGTTTTTTATGCTATTGAAACAGTCATTTGTATGGGTGCGGTGTGGGGTACCTATGTACAGCCCACCGCTAAAGTAATGGTAGGGTTTTACCAATCTCAACGGTTGGCTTTGACTGGCGATTGTTTAATGCGGAGTGATCGAAAAGAAGATTTCAATAGCTTAAGTTGCGCTGCAAGGGTGACGATACATATAAGCTACATTCAAAGTTTCATTGTAGTCTGGCTAATCGTTCCTAAGCTTCAGAAGCAGAACATACTCATGACTGAAACCACACATTACTTCTGCTGTGGACTGTACCTATCATAGCCGTTTATGATAACCGTTTATGTGCGTTTACCTGTTATATTTTTATATAGGTATATTAAGCCATTTATAATAGACGTTATAATAGCCGTTTTCACGACAGCCATCTGGTGCACGTTTGAAGTAGATTAGGTGCAAATTTGGTGCAGATTTGGTGAAATTACGTTAATTGTGTTTCTTAAAATTTAGTTGTCAATTTAGGTTGCAATTTAGGTATATATTAGAGTTCAGTGGGTTGCACAGATGCTTAAAGGCCAGATTTTTTCAAGTTATCACACATTATTTCGATCAAAACACTGAAATCAATTCATGATGCGAGGATATTTGTTGTAAACGAGACTTGGTGCAGATTTGATCAAATAACGGTGCACTCGCCAGACAGCCCGTCGTGAAAACGGCTATTACTTCATGCCATTTTAGCCTTCGGCAACCGTGCATATTTCAAGCCAGCCACAAAAATCAGTTGCCTATGATCTCATCGGCACCCATAAAAAGCCTGAATTTGTTCCCAATCAGTGTCGAATTGCTACTATTCATGTATGATAAATAACGTTTTTTTATGAAACTAGGAAAAGTTCGGCCATGCCACATGCATGGCGTGCCTAGTCTTCGCTCTTTTCAAGGAGACATGATATTGGAGGGCTGGAAGGTCTTTCGGAGACTCATTGTACCGGGGTACTTCAATCGTTTGAGAACTTTCTGTCGTTTTTCATGACACCCTTTTCTACTGCTAGGTATGAGGGCTCAGTACGTGACTGGAGGTCGTCATAGACTCGCACAATATAATTCGTAACTGCAAGGTCGTTGTTTTTAACGGTGGACGCGGCCCCCTTGAATTATGATGCTTAACCTTGCGCTTATGTCGTGACCAGAAACAACTAACTTTTAACTTTTCGTCCAATGGCATAAATTAACCCACAGGCCGAAGGAGTTGAGGAGGTTGGTGCCACTCCTGGATCATGACCGTTTTCTCCCGATTGCTGAGAGCGCGCAAGCGATAGTGAGCTAGAAGCTATCATACCTGCTGGGGTTTACCCAAAAGTAGGTACCTACGGCCTTTCAAGGATTTAGCGTTTGGTTACCAACACCACAATAATTAATAAGTATTGATGGGTTAGTCTATAGGCTGTTAACAAACGGTACCGTACAATACATCTTCCAATTTCTGTTAAGTCAATTCACTGGAGTGTCTGTGTCATTCAAAGTCATTATCCCTAAAACACATCGCCTGACCAATCATTCTATTACTTGAGATCCTCACATACAAACATATGAGGATACAAGCATTTCATGCATTCAAAGCTCAAAAAGCAATGGAAGGAACACTTCCAGAATAAGTCAAAAGCACCAATGCACCAGTCAGCACAAAGTTCCTCATCGGCGCAGAATTTGCACATAATACAAATACATATAAACTATAAATACATGTATAAATACACAGTGAACATCGGCCACTAAGCACTGAGTACACAAGATCATTGACTGGACATTACACACATTCATATACCGTAATGGATAGAAGTAGATACACAGCGTACACACACACAACGCCAGAAATGTTCAGCAAACACCCCGAGTACGAATCGATGCCTGAGCCAGGGTTATGTCCATCAGGCATCAGCGTCCCTCCGGTGATGTCCACTTCGGCCGGGACGGGCCTGCCGGAAGGACCGGTGACCGTTCTGGTCTGTCCTGGTCCGTTTAGAGTTTGTCCCTGTCCATTCCGCCAATATGCCATTTTTTAAGCAGCTCTACATCACTAGTGAGTTCAGCTAGACTCCGGTGACTTTCTTCCCAGTATTTCATGAAAGAGGAGACCCGAAGTTTGCTTCTTTATCAGATTCAGTATCCTGACAAAGCAGGCGAGTTTCTGTCGTTTCTCGGGACCATCTCGTCAGCACCGAATCGAGGTGGTTCAGTGGACATCTCGACCGGTTTCCGCTCATCCCTGGCCTGCCTGCCGAGTTGTTGCTGCTCGCCGAGTCACACCGGTCCCCGGTCATACAGGAGAGTGTCACGGGCCATGTTCTCGGGGACGGAGGGCCGCGCGGCCACCGCGGCGCGCGTCCTCTTTGTCATCCTGCTGGCGGCGTTCTGCTGCTCCCACTGCTGGTTCCTGGCGGAGCTGTTCCTCAGCGAGCCCGTCTCCATGGAGATGACGTTCCCGCATTGGGAGGACGTGCCGGCGCCCAGTGTGACCGTCTGCGGCCAGCCATTCGACTGGAGCGGCAGCGCCGAGCGAGACACCCGCAACTGGACGGAGACCGAGCGGGCGACAAAGTCTCTCTCCAGCTCGGACGGCACCCCCTCGGTCACCGGTTTGATCTGGACGGCCGGCCAGCGGGTCGATGAGGTGGTCACGTCGTGCAGTCCGGGATGTCACGTCAGCGAGACCATCTCCCGTCCCGGAGATAGCAGTTCAGTCTCGATCGGCACCTGGACGTCTCGACTGGCGATCGTGAGGGGCGCTGTCTGCCACACCTTCAACCCGAACGTGACCTGGGGTCAGCTGGCCGACCTTACCTCGTACGAGAGTCCAATGCTGGAGATGGAGATCACCAC